TCCCTACATGAATAAAAGCTGTTTCCATAAAAAGAAATTTGAGGATGTACATGAGATGTATCAAGATAATAGCTCTCCTCTGATGGGAGAGTTTACTGACCTTTCTCGTTCTGAAGCCATTTAACCCAAGGGTTTATCTGTTAGTTAACAGTGTAGATATTTTTAAACACAGTAATCCTTTTGACTACAGGCTGAGTTATAGCATTTTTATGTTATTTTTTTAATGTTATGCCTGCCATATCTCTGTTCAGTTGCTAACATTTTCCCAAGTGGGATTTTAATGGGTGACACTGTGATTTTTGTGGGTTCAATTTTGTAAGTAACTGAGCACAACAAGTCGACTGACTGCACAAAAAGGAACCACTGCAGCCCCCCCGACAAATCATATGCCTCCAAGGAAAAAAGCATCTAGTAAATAAAAACACATCAACATGATCTGCAAGGCCAGAACGAAAAGTACATTGGTGTTTGGTATGCTGGGTTCTTTAGGAAAAAAAAATGTCAGGACCCTCTGAAAGATTTTGGACACCTCTCTAGTTCTGGTCAAATAAACCATGTGTCACAAGGACGACTTTATGTGGCAGATGCAGTGTGTCAGGCTACACTCCTGCATGAGAAGAACATGTTCACAAATACAGTAAGTCTGATGTTTGGGCTATACTTTTAGGCAGACAGTAGCCTTGGAACTGTAAAAGCAGCCAACGTCAGAGGAAACATACCCAGTCTGCCTTCCCAGGTGAAGAGTGCCCATAGTCAACTGGTACCTCAAATAGAATGGCATGCTAATTGAAGACTTGAGACCATTAGTCTACAGGTGTCCTATGACCATTCATTTATGCCATTATTAGGAGTATAACAAAGTGGTATTCGAGTGACATGATGTTATCAAAGAAGAGGACAGAGGGGCATAGTAGAGAACTTCTTGCTTCAAACCGTAAGGAAGTGCAGGTGAGCTCCCTTTGTGCAAGTGAACTGTCTGTCTGCTTTTTTTCCCATTTACTTCAAAGGGCACTACTCATGCATGTAAAGCATTGCTCATGTAAATCTAGAGGGCCAGGTTCAACTAGCCTCCAGGCAACGTAAGGACACAAGAAGACTTAACATTAGATGATTCAGATGCCTAAATTAACAGCAAATCTCTTCAAGATTGCCATAGAGAAAGAGATGCCTGAGCTGGAAGCAGACGTATGATTTAAATGGCCTCGGGGTAAGGTTTCCTGTCTGACTGTAAAAGGAGTCTGGAAATGCCATCTTCTTAATTGAGATATCAGATGCCTTAATCCAAGTGGTGCAAATACTCTTCCCCCTCCAGCCTTGTAACATCAGGGCACTGCTTCTATTACTTGTTAGTTTGGATACCATCAGCTGTTATAATCTGGCCACTACCCTATGTGATTAATAGCCACAAATAAACTAAAGAAAATCAACAACTATCTTCACAGTAAACTTTCTTGCTTGGAAATAATACTTTTCCTTTCTTTCGTACAGTTTTTACTGCACTAATGTGAAAGCACCTTTTTAATATTAAAGCATAGATTAGTTCAGTATGACATAAATCCTGATGTAACTGTGATATTTCTACTGCTGCATTTTGTTTTAAATTCTTTTTTTGGTATTACATTTATTCCTGTTTTCATGTTAATGCAGTGAAATTAATAAAAATCTACGTCTGAAAAACAATTATGCCCTGTAGCCCATGTTCTCCTCCTAAGCACAAGTACAGCAGCTTTGCTGTCAGAATAGAAAACTGCCCAGTCCAAAAGCTACTGTAGTTGGCACAGCTTTTATCTGCCTGCAAGCTTGAGAAGAGTGCATTATGCTTCAGGAAAAGTCTGGGGCCACAGATATCAGATAGATGAAATTGGACAGGTAGGAGAAACCAGGACATGTATAGGTGAAGAGGGATCAAAGAGCATTCAAAGTTCAATATGGAAATATGCTTCTGCTTCACCATGTCATTCTCCCTGTTCCACTGCCCCCATTCCTTTTGTCAGCCTATGATCCAAATCTGCTCCTCTCCCTTGCACACTTTTTTCTTCTGTCCACAGTGGGATAAACTAAATTCTATATCCACTGCCTTTGTTTTCTGATGTGCATTTTCTATTTTGTGCTGTCAGGAAAATAAACTAATGAAACTTAAAGATAAGGTTATTGTTAAATTATGTTACCAGGCAGGATAATCCCTGATCCTTCACTGTAGCGTTGCACTGAGACAAGCAAGGTTCTAGATAGTTTTGTGGCAGATCTTGAATCTTAGTCAGTCAGATGTGGCTGCAGCTTGCTGTGGGTACAAGACAGACCGCTCCCAATCAGGTTAGCAGGATTTCAAGCAGTCTGGTGATGGAGCTTCCCATGGGGAAGGTTGAAGCCCCTATGAAAGAGAACACAAATCACCTTGATGGACAGGTGAGGGAAATTTTACACACGGGAGACAAATATTCCATAAGTCAAGCTCTGCAGGGAGAAGCATTGAGATGAAGATACATGTGAGAGCTGGAGAAGCTGTCACGGAACACAGAAACTGTGTGATGAACTGAAGGTTTGTTAAGAAGAATGGCAAGGCACAGCAGAATTGTAATTACAGCAGGGAAGATGGCACAAGGAAGAACCACTGCAGTGCTTGGGAGATGTCTCAGCTGCTCTGCTGGAACACTGAGGAAATTAAAGCAAGTGTTTGAGAGAGTGTACAAATAGTGCCAGAGCACCAACAAAAAATTCAAGACTGGAGCTCTGCAATTGCTACAAGTAAATTGTTGCTTTACAACAATAGTTGAATAACTAAGTGGAAACTGTTACAAATTCAAAATTTTGGGCACTGAACTTCTGAGGAGATGAGTTGAGTGGGCTTTCAGCATGCTTATGAAAAGAATGTCCAGGTGCCATGGACAAATATCCTTGTACAGCCTTGAAACCGAAGTTCAGTTTATGCACAGAACAGAACTGGACTGACCTTCATTAGGAGATGCTACTGTCACATTGCTCAGAAGCATGCGAGGAGAAGTGTCCCACACAGCAGAAGATAACTCTGCCAGCTGTCAGGCAGACTTCCTAAAGGGCGAAAGGAAATGAGCAGAAGTGCATATATGGTACTGGTGAGTGCTGAGCAGCACTCACAACCAACCACCACATTCATAATCTCTGCCATTGGTTTGTCTGTGCAACGTATATAATGGGAAAGCATAGAAATAGTGAAACTTCTGGTAACCAGTGCAGAGGGATGTCTCTATCATAAGACTTTCTTGTCTGCTAACCCAATTGTGACCTTATGTGTGCATATTTTAGTTAAGATAAATGGAATAAAAAGGAAGAAATGTATCTGAAAGTGCCCTACAGGAAAGCTGGGGAGGGACTTCTTAGAAGGGCTTGTAGCAAGAGGACAAGGGGTAATGGATTAAAACTGGAAGAGGGGAGATTTAGGTTAGACATTATGAGGAAATTCCCTAGAGTGAAGGTAGCAAGTTACTGGAACAGGTTGCCCTGAGAACATGTGGATGCCCCCTCCCTGGAAGTGTTCAAGGCCAGGCTGGATGGGGCTCTGAGCAACCTGGTCTAGTGGAAGGTTGGAACTAGATGATCTTTAAGGTCCATTCCAACCCAAACCACTCTATGATTAAAATGGATAAGTAGGAAAAAAGTAGTGGCAAAAAATGAAATAAATACTTTATTAGCTTTAACAGAGGCTAATAAAGTAATAGCCAAACCAATGGGAAGATCAGAGATAAATACTTTAAGCAGAACATTAAGAGAGAGCAAGCAAGAGAGACTTTCAGTTATGAAGTTCCAAAATAAATATCACTCCTTCCAGTGAAAATTACAAATGAGATAAATACAATGACCATAAGAACGTCTTTTTCCAGCAACAAAACACAAATAAATGAAGTGCCAGGAGAATAACATGTTGCTAACCAGGTTAAATGGTACATCAGGAATATAGTGCTCATTTTTAAGCTTAATTTTGCTGCTGTTTTCAACTGCTGATGCCTACTGGCCTCCTCCTGGTGACTACTAGTCTATCTTTAGGCAATTTTTCTATCACCTGGTGACCTCTCTCCAGCTGAGAAGGGAGATTGGGAAAAAGAAAGGATACTCAAGGGTTGAAACAAAAACAGACTCAATAAAATAATCACAAAATCATAGAATTACAGAATGGTTTGGGTTGGAAGGGACCTTAAAGATCAAGTTCCAACCCCCTGCATTGGCAGAGACACTAACTACTATTAATCCCAACACTAATATGAAATAGAAAGTTGTACTCAG